CAACTTGGCAAATCTCCAGGGCCAGATGGGCTGACCTCCAAGTATTATAAGATATTAAAAGACTATTTGATACAACCTTTGATGGAGGTCAGCAATGAAATTATTGAGGGGAAGAGGGCACCGGATTCGTGGAAGGAAGCGTTCATCACATTAATACCAAAGTCAGAAGCTGAAAAGACACAACTGAAGAACTACCGTCCCATCTCTCTTTTAAATGTGGATTACAAAATATTTGCAGACATTTTGGCAAGTAGATTTAAAAAGTATTAAATGAAGTAATTCATAAGGACCAGGCCGGTTTTCTCCCAGGTAGACATCTGTTTGCTAACACAAGGAACATTATTGACATCTTGGAACTTTTGCAAACAGATATAAATACAAAAGCAGTTTTAATTTTCATAGATGCGGAGAAGGCCTTTGACAATATTTCCTGGAAATTTATGATGGGAAATTTAAAAGAGATGGGAGTGGGACGGGGTTTTGAGAATGGGATTGAGGCGATATATTCAGAACAGAAAGCTAAACTGATAGTTAATAATGTGGTTACAGAAGAGTTTAAAATTGAAAAAGGGACACGACAAGGTTGCCCTATTTCCCCTTTGTTATTTATTTCGGTTCTGGAAGTGCTACTGAACATGATTAGAGGGGATCGGTTGGTGGAAGGAATTCAGGTTGGTCAGAAACAATATAAACTAAAAGCTTTTGCAGATGACCTGGTTTTGACCTTGCAGAAGCCAGAGCCTAGTACGAAAAGAGTATTACAATTGATTAATGATTTTGGTCGGGTGGCGGGATTTAAATTAAATAAACAGAAAACTAAGGTTTTGGGGAAAAATTTGACTGATACAGAGTCAGAACGGTTTCAGAATGAGACGGAACTTAATGTGGTTAAAAAAGTAAAATACCTAGGGGTAAACATAACAGCAAAAATCTAAGTCTATTTAAGGATAACTATGAAAAATGTTGGACAGAAATTAAGAGAGACTTAGACAGTTGGTCAAAATTGAAACTTTCTTTGTTAGGCCGAATTGCTGCTATTAAGATGAATGTATTGCCAAGGATGTTGTTTTTATTTCAAACACTTCAGGTTTTGGACAAAACGGAGTGCTTTCAGAAGTGGCAGAGAGATATTTCGAAGTTTGTCTGGCAGGGCAAAAGCCCAGAATCAAGTTTAAGATATTAACTGATGCAAAACAAAGAGGGGCTTTGCCCTGCCGGACTTAAAGTTGTATTATGAAGCCGCAGCGTTCTGCTGGCTAAAAGACTGGCTACTTCTTGAAGACACTGATGTGTTGGACTTGGAAGGGTTTAATAATGTTTTTGGATGGCATGCATATTTATGGTATGACAAAGTTAAAGCAAATAAGGCCTTCAAGAACCATATTGTCAGAAAATCATTGTATAATGTCTGGACAAAATATAAAGACTTGCTGGAAAATAAAACACCAAGGTGGCTTTCACCTTTGGAAGCTAAGGCCCGAAAAAGACCCAATATGGAGGCTAAATGGCCAAAATATTGGGAAATATTAGAAAAAGATGGAGACAATTGGAAATTGCAGAGTTTGGAGAAAATGAAAGACAAAGTGCGAGATTGGTTACATTACGCTCAGATTAAAGAAGTTTTTAAAAATGATAAGAAACTAGGGTTCCAGGTGGAGAAATCGAAATTAGAAACAGAATTGTTAGAACCAAAGACTAAGGTACTTTCAAGGATGTATAACTTGCTGTTGGAATGGAATACACAAGATGAAATGGTTAAATCGGCTATGATAAGGTGGGCACAGGACATTGGGTACAATATTATGTTTGAGGACTGGGAAAAGTTGTGGAGTAATGGATTGAAATTTACTGCATGTAACGCTCTGAAAGAAAATGTAATGAAAATGATTTATAGATGGTATATGACCCCAGTTAAACTTGCAAAAATTTACCACCTGTCTGATAATAAGTGTTGGAAATGTAAAGAGTGTGAGGGAACGTTCTTCCACCTCTGGTGGACCTGCCCTAAAGTGAAGGCGTTCTGGGAAATGATTTATAATGAATTGAAAAAGGTATTTAAATATACCTTTACCAAGAAACCAGAGGCTTTCCTTCTGGGTATTGTCAGCCAAGGGGTGGCAAAGAAGGACCAGACATTTTTATGTATGCAACAACAGCAGCAAGGATACTTCTTGCAAAACATTGGAAAACTCAAGATTTACCCACACTGGAAGAATGGCAGATGCAACTGATAGACTACATGGAACTGGCTGAAATGACTGGCAGAATCCGTGACCTGGGAGAAGAGAGAATCGAGGAGGATTGGAAGAAATTTAAGAACTATCTACAAAAATATTGTGATTTGAGTGAATGCTAAATAAGATGCTAGACTAAATAACTGAGCACCACTTAACTTAGAAGTTTTTAAGAAAACAAGTAAGACTGTGAAAGTTTAACTCTTTATGAGAACTATAAGATTATGAAACATTGAAGAGATATAAGAATTTAAATAAGATGATAAATTGCTGACAAAATGTTATAACGATGAAAGTGGGAGCGGGGGATGTGAGGAAGTCCAAAGAAAATGTGAAACTATGTTAAGACAAATGTTATATTGTTTATTATGTTTATTTTTATT